TCTTAAACATGGGGGATACACACCTACTGATTTTCAGGGAACTTTGAATCAGGTCATAAAAGAAAAAAAAAGGCAAAGTCTCTTGTTAATTGCTACCTTTTCATAAACAAAGAAAAACACTCAACTCACTCCCAATAATTAGAACAGTTTGATTGGATTTAAAAATCCCTCTATGGCTTTTGCTATCCAAACACTGGGGTAAGAAAGGCCCAATGAGAAACAGAATTGCCCAGAACCAAAAGTGAAATGAGTCTATTTTCATCTTCCAGAGTGAGTGTGACGAGCATCCTGTTGGACCACAACTATTGCCAGCTTATGATGACCTAACTCTGAAAATGTCTACACTACAGTACTGCTCTCGCCGATTTCAGTCCCCTACTAGACTGACCCAGTATTCCCACCTCCATGAAAAGTGGAGGGAGTCAGTGTAGTTAGGATGATGCAGTGTAGCCGCCGCGTTACTTACATTGCCGGTCAGCACCACGCGGGACTAGGCGTTTTGAGCCCAGCACTGTGCCAGACAGCTGGACTCCCAGCTGGGAATTCCACGTGGAGCTGACTCTCCGACCCCACCACGACCCCACTGGAGTCCCTATAAGCAATCCAGGTGAGAATGTGCACCACCGGCAGAAGGATGCTAGTGTGAACATGAGAAACCACAGTAATTACTGCAGTGGCTGTAGATCAGCCTATCATGGGTCAACATAATTGTGTACGATAGACCAGGCCTTAGACTTTCCATTCTAACAATACAGAGTAAAATTTGTAACCAGAAAAAACATTTGTTTTTAAAAATAGATACTGACATTATCTTAGTAATGGCTGTAAGTACTTGTGAGAGCATAAAATAATACAAACAAGTATTAAACAACCCAGAGTGAAAACAGTGACAAATCAAATTCACTTTGTATAGGTAAAATATACAGAATGTGCAACTCAAATTAACTGAGTAAAGCTGCATAGAAATGTGTCATTTTAAAAGACCCAGAGAGCAATGCTACAAGCAAAATATCACTGCTAGCGACACAAAATGTTCCTTTAAAAAAATCACACAAGCCCATTGAAATGACTACACAGCACCCTAAACTCAAAAGAAGATACGCAATTTGCACTACACAAATTGCGTATCTTATTTTGAATCTATTTCAAAATAGATTAATTAATTCTAGACAGCGCCAAATTTCAAAATAACATGCTATTTCGAGACATCCCTTAACCGGTTACTGAGATGCAGAAATAGTGCACCCGTTATTTTGAAAAATATTTCAAAATAATGGGCGGCTTGTGTAGACGCGGGGTAGGTATTTTGGGATATCCCGAAATAGCTGTGCAGTGTAGACGTACCCTCAGATGTTCTGGCGACCACAAATAAGCACGGCCATCAAAGCGACGTCCATTCTCAGCCGTGCGTTTCACAGCACGGTTTTCAAACAAGGCTGTTTACTCCCCGTCTAAAGTTAGTGGGCCAGATTGTCACTCGATGTAAGGAGACATCAGTGGAGCTCTGCTGATTTACAGGAGTGAGGATTTATCTGCACAGCTCCAATTAAATTGTAAATAGGCAGATGTGCATTTATGAGACAATGAACTTTTCCATAAAAGTAGCTTGTAGGGCTTTGCTATTACTGCCTCGATAAACCTGTACATCCTGGTGCTGCAGCATCTGCCTCCACTGGGATTTAAGGCACAGGGTTCCTGAGGAAAGGCACACAGCTTAAAAAAAAAAATCATCTTTAATTTAAAAATTAGAAACTGGAGCAGGCTGTGAGCACAGAGGTTGATTGAAACAAAATTTAAATTCCTGTCAAGCCCATTTAAACACAGGGGCCCTTCATAGACAATTAGCTGCACCCTGTGAATGCTGAATAAACTCGGGCCTGGTCACTGATAGAAGAGAGAAGGCCTACTGTGAGGAGTGGGGGGAAAATTAACTAAAATCAGACTGTATGAAATATTTAGCCTCCCAGCTTATCACAGGGGTTTGAAAGTGTAAACAAGACAAAAATCGATTCCTCCGTGCCCTCAAATCAATCCCCCAAAATGGTTAGGGCATCTGTTTCTTCTAAATTTTGTTTACTCTGGCAGATTTGCCTTAATTGCAGTTGTTTATCTCTCATTGTCCCCGGGGCCCTAATCTCCCGATTACTAATACTTAACACTCATTTCACATCTAAAGCTACTTCTAATCCTCAACAGGTTTCTGGGGCTCTTAAAATTATTGAAACCGTGGAGACAGGAGACATAGCCTCTTTGTGAAAGGAACATTTTCTTATCTACTACCAGCTGGGTCCAATCATCACCAGGGATGGCTACAACAAAGGTGCTAAAAGGCTCTTTCACAATCACTGCGGCTCTACAGGGAATTCAGTGGATAAAAAAAAGCTTTGATGGAAAAAACCTGAACAAGAGGGCTATAACAGTCCAGCCAAATAAAGTTACTGTCATAATCAAATGCTGTCAATCACAATGAAAATCCAATTAAAAATGCTTTAGCGCAGCCCTCTTAAGTCGAAAAATATCCCCCATTTATATGCATTTTTGTCAACTGCGCAAATGAAAAAATAGCATGAAATGATTTTTTAAAATCACTTCCAGCCCCGATCCTATAACTGGATTTGTGCACAAGAATCCGCTGGCATGGATCCAATTGCCAGACTGGGGCCATGCAGTCCACAGGTCACCAGGAAGTCTTCAGAGGCACAGCCCTATCTTCCGCTTTGTGTACAGAGCACTGATCGGCAGTTCTTCTTTAATATTTACCCACATGTTCCAGTCACAAGTCAGGCCTCACTGTGAATGTGCACAGGACAGAGTTGCAAAGACCCATTCCTTATCTGAAGGAGTTTAGAATCTGTGCAGCTACTGGATCCATTTGCAATTCTATTTTTATTTGAATTAAATAAATTATCAGACTCATAAACCGGTGTTCCATGCCAGCCTGCTGTAGGATTGGCATGAATGACATAAGAATGGCCAGACTGGGTCAGACTAAAGGTCCATCTAGCCCAGTGTCCTGTCTGCTGACAGTGGCCAATGCCAGATGCCCCAGAGGGAGGGAACAGATCAGGTAATCATCAAGTGATTCCTCCCCTGTCACCCATTTCCAGTCTCTGACAAACAGAGGCTAGGAACACCATCCCTACCCATCTTGGCTATTAAGTATTGATGGACCCATCTTCCATGAATGTATGTAGTTATTTTTTGAACCCTGTTAATTCCTGGTATTCATAACATCTTCTGGCAAGGAGTTCCACAGGTTGACTGTGGGCTGCATGAAGAAATAATTACTTTTGTTTGTTTTAAACCTGCTACCTATGAATACCATTTGGTGATCCCTAGTTCTTATGTAATGGGAACAAGTAAATAATTTTTCCTTATTCACTTTCTCCACACCAGTCATGATTTTATAGACCTCTATCATATCCCCCCTTAGTCTCCTCTTTTCTAACATGAAAAGTCCAAGTCTTTTTAATCTCTCTTCATATGGCACCCATTCCAAACCGTAATCATTTTTTTGTTGCCCTTTTCTGAACCTGACATGATTTTGAACAGAAATGGTAGGGGAGGTAATAGGATTTAGTGGACCAACTTCTGTGGGTGCGAAGCTTTCAAGATTACACAGAGACCTGAAGAACAGACTTCTATAACTTGAGAGCTTGTTTCTCTCATCCACAGAAGTTGGTCCACTAAAAGATTTTACCTCACCACCATGTTCCTTTAATATCCTAGGACCTACATGGCTACAACACCATTAAATATATGATTTTGAACATACAGAAAAGAGAAAGCATGGGAAACAACATATGATCATTATTGCAAACTTAACTGTCATATTCATAAACATGAGGAGAAACTAAAAGCGGTTGACATTAAAAAAAAAAAAATCACACAAATTCACCGCTACAAATAAACAAATATTTAATGATGCAGAATTGGTATATTTGCAATTTCAGTACCAAAAATGTGAAGCTTCAAATAATTTTGATGCAACTAGAAAAACTGAAGAAAAACATAGCAAGAATTGAAATGAAGTCTGGTCTACTGTTAAAATTGAGATCAACCTAGGTATGTTGCTCAGAAGGCTGAAAAAAGTCACACCCCTCAACACCATATAGTTACACTGACACAGCTACCTCTGAACCCAAGGTGATGTCAATGGCAGAATTCTTTCACTGACCTAGCTATTATCACTCATTTGGGTGAATTACATATAGCGATGGAAAAACCACTTCAGTCAACGTATGATGCATCTATGATACAGCTCTGTACCTATACTAGGCACTGGCCCCTCAAATTAAACAAACTCTCAAGTCCAAGAGAATCTCGTGAGTGGTCAGATTCATTTTATCAGAAATATGCACCGAGTCACATTCTTGCCCATTCATTTCTCTTGGTTTCCGAGATTTTTATACATCTTAAAGTCTGATCCAACCTATTTCTTTTCGCATTCCATCAAAAAGCACTAGGACGTTCTGATGCTGTAGGACATGCGAGAAAGAGAAAGTTAGATTCTCGCATTTTCTGCAAAAAGTAATTGGTTACAGAAACAATGGGACTGTGGAATGTATCAAACAAATCTAACGCGCTCACGCTAAGAATGCTGGCCAGTTAAACCTTCTCACCAGTTTAGCAATTCTATCATTGCTGGATTCTGTGACAGTCATGGAATACATTTCTGGATTTTGATCGGCGATTTCTCAATTGATTAGAAATAAACTATGTCTCATGAATAGTGACAGATTTATTTATTGATTGAAGTGGACTAGGGAATTGGTTGGGCTATACAGCTACCTGAAATAATACACAGTTCCCCCTCCTCTATGAGCTACATTGAGCAATGAAAATGACGAACGTACAATGAATGGTTAAAAAAAGATGCTAAACACCGGATGGAATTCTGAAGTTTTGCCATTGATTTTAGTAGATCCAGGATTTCATCCAGAATCTCTAGTACACAAAAGATGAAGCTGGATAGCTTAAAAATGTGTCTGCTACAATACCTGGGCCTGTCCCATCTTAAATGTGTTTGGTGTCTGCCAGAATCTCTCTTTGTCATGGTCTGAACTAGGATCATCGTGACAGAGGACGGACAAAATGCCTGAAAACAAAACCATTTATCACGAGTTCAAGCATCAACAATTTTACACCAGAGCAATCATCACTGAGAAGAGGTTCCTGTACTGACACATTTCTCAATAAAGTAAGTTGATTGTAAGGGGTTAAAAAAATGAAAGCTCTTGGACCATCATGATCAGAGAATGACAGGTAAAATTTATCTATCTGCAATGCTGTCTTCAAAAGATTTACTAAACATGTTTGTAGCAAACAAAGCTTGTTTGCTAATGCTGCATGGCCCTCTGTTCTTTCATAAGTGCTAATGTGTCATCAGAAAAGACATTACAATGGTCTCAAGTACTGAGCGAATGCTTCCATTGTTATATTTCTGTGCAATGAAAGAGCTCAAGTAAAATTAGTTGCTTGTGGATTCCTTTTTATAAATATGTGCACAATTGGCCCGTTTTGGCTTTTACTCTGAGATTTTTTAACAGGAAAGCCATACATGATTATATTATATCCCCCGTCAATTTGTGAAGTGCAGTTAAAATCTTTACTGTATGCCATATGCAGCAGTCAAATTCAGTGACTAGAAACCAAGTTCAGAATGCTGTGTTAACTATTGTTACTATTGTATGTGAGCCAGGGTTTATATACTTTCTTTTTTAATTAGTGTTTTTGGGAGAAAATAAGCAAAGCAGCCATCTGTTCCAGAGAGTTTATATTTCAATGACCTTAAGAAAGCTTATTAAAATATAATAGCAAATTATCAAGATGAAAAATATTAACCGCAAATAAGGAGACTAGCCAGCCAGCTCTGGGTGTTACCCTGAAATTGTGAAAGAGGGACAGTTTGTGAAATTTAAGACTGTGCTAGGCTGGAGAAAATTCAGAAAAGCAGTTAATATTTGTATTTATAAATATATATATATTTACCATAAATCCCTACTAATCAATAAAGTATCAGCACAGAAAAAATACACAGAAATGATCCTACAATCCATATTGCTTGGGCTAGTTTTAAAAATCAGAGAAAAAAAGATACAAGCAAGAATGTTAACTAAAAGACCTAAACAAAAATTAACATATCTATGTAAAATCAATGTAAAAGATTAAATAGATTTTGCTTCAACAGCTGAGAGTTTCCTAGCCAAAAACTCTGCACCTATCTACCAGAACCTTCTCTGAGAAATCTGAACTCCGTCATCTTGCTTGAGCACTTTTATGCACCCCAATTAAAAGGAAAACAAGTAACTGCTACATCTACGGTTTGTGGTATTTCAAATCCCATTCTCTTAAGTAAAACCACGTACATTCAAAAAGAGTCATATGAGGCAGAGCAGAATTCCATAGTAGTAAACCCGATAAGGAAATTCTACAGTTCTGCTCGCATGCTTTGAAAAGTGCAGGGAATCTGCAAACATCAGGCCACCCTTGCAACCAAAGAAGAGAAGGATTTTAAACAATCGCTAAGGCAGAAGAGTGAGATCATAAAGACAATTTCTGCGCTAGCTTGTTTTCTGAAACTCTCTCTGCCACCGAATAGCTAGAACAGATAATAACTATTAGTAAATCAAACTCCTGAAATATCCAGCTGTGACTCACACATTTACATACAGATAGAATGGGTATATGTTTTTAATATGTATGCGATACGTACTTTTACCACAGCTGAAGTGCATGCTACAAAGGAGGAGGAGAATGGGGATGGAATCAGCATGAGATAATAAAGTGGCCTAGATAAAGTATTAGCCAGCGATTGATCTCAAACAGGGGATGCTGCTTCTCTCTGACCTGATTACTTACTATGCATAGATTCCATTAAATAGAGCTTAGAAAGGGAAAGCTTCTGAAAAATACCGTAAATGCACAGAGAGCATCCTGAGCCAGATCAACGAAAGCATGCACACCCGCACCTACGTGCATGCATGTGCTTCAAACTGTACCTGCATAACCTCACCTGGCCAACTCATTCGATAAACATGCTGCCATTCTAGACAGAGCCAGCCTTGAAACTCTGGACAGAGTTATATTTTCAATGAAAAAACCCTCCACCCAAAACAAAATAAAGCCCATCTATCATTTTATTAAAACTGGCTTCTCTTTTCTTCCCTTGCACGGAATAATTGTTTTTAGGGGGATTCCAGTCTCTTGTGTTGCCTTCTCCTATGCTGAAGCAGCAAATGTGTTTTATTTTAACGGTCTCCGTGTATGCACCTGTATTTAGACTCAAACATGTGAAGAAAGAGGGTGGGAGAGATTAAAAAACAGCCAGAGTAAGAACACGGCTGGGAGTACGCATTGGTGAATGATCAAGCTCATTCCTGCACTAGAAAGGAAGGCTCTTCTCATAGCTCACTGAAATGACTTTTTCTCCATGAGAAATTTGTTCATTTAAAATACTTTATAAAATAATTAAATCACTTGCATATGTTCCTGTAGAAACTGAAGCCACAAAATTAAGGCAAAAAAAATGTTTTTGCCTGGTGGGTGAGTTAAAGAAAAGGCACACTGACTGAGCTCAACCATACAGCATTCATAGTTTGTTAAGGAAATCCAGGGTTCACTTATACAAGAGTGTCTGTGGTACTGAAAAGTCTGGTTTTGTATAGGAATTTCATTCAGCCTCTACTTTGGTTCCATGTTTTCCAAGAACTTTGGAAAATAAAGTGCTTCAAGTCACCTGCCAAGCTAGATCAAATCCATCCTTGGTGGAGCTCCATTGACTTTACTGGAATACACCAGGCTAGATTTCCATACACCAGGCATTGCTAGTTGGTTTTTAAAATGTGTTTAACAATGTAAATCAGTGTTTCTTAAACTGTGTTCCGTGGCACACCAGTGTGCCGCAAGACAGTCGGAAGTGTGTCGTGGAGAACAACAGAGTTCAAAATGGCCACCCTTAAAGGGACAGGTGACATTCCCCCCTCCCAATAACTTCCCCCGACCCTATTTTTCTTCTTTTTTGCTCAATAACTTTTCCCTAGCCTCTTTTTTTTTTTTTTTGCTCAACAAAAAGTCCTTGGTGGTCCTCATAAAAAAAATTGTTTGGTGTTCTTCTGTTTTAAAAAGTTGAAGAAACACTGATGTAGAGATGAGAAGACCATCTCCTCATTTTGCATTCAGCCTTTAATTGGACTCAATTGGCTGCCAAATGCTGACATCCAGCACAGCTCATGTGTACAAAGTACAAAATATCAACTCATGTTTTGTCTGGTGTTAAGGACGTTCGTTACATGTTACCTGTAACATGTGACATGTTACACCTTTCCTCCTGGTGCGTACACTTTATCTCAAAGTGTTTTATAGGTCGAAATCGTGGCCTCACTGACATCCATTAGTTCAAAGTTTCACCCTTACTCTCTGCAGCATTTACCCCACCACTGTGGTGTAACAAACTGCATCAACAGTGCACACCCCCACTACAGTGTAAGGGAGGAAGTAAAGATTACCAGCAGGCGCCATCATAGGAATTTCAGGTACACAGAATGGGAATTGGGAGAGGAGATGAGGAACCAACTCTAGTGGAAAGCGTCCCAGAGATGAGCATGTCAGAACTCTCGGGTTTGGGTTTCACAAAACAAGGATTCACTTTAAAGTCATTACGGAATTAACAGAAGATTATTAAATATGGTTACAACACAACACTTCGGTTGTAGCGTTAAATTGATCTTCTCCTAGGAGAGCAACCACTGCATTGCCAGAATTAAGCCACCCACCTGGAGTTCTAGACCACTGGACTGTACTGGCATACAACAGGTGAAGCAGGGAAGTATTTCAACCACATGACTTACCAAACTCCCCGGCTGTGTCTACACTGGCATGAATTTCCGGAAATGCTTAAAACAGAATAGTTTCCGTTATAAGTATTTCCGGAAAAGGAGCGTCTACATTGGCAGGCTGCTTTTCCGGAAAAGCCCTTTTTCCGGAATAGCGTCCGTGGCCAATGTAGACGTGCTTTTCCGGAAAAGAGCCCCGAGCGTCATTTTCGCGATCGGGGCTTTTTTCCGGAAAAGACTACTGGGCTGTCTACACTAGCCCTTTTCTGGAACAGTGTTCCGGAATAAGGACTTATGCGGGAGCAGAATAGTTTTTCCGGAATAGCGGCTGATTTTGTACAGTAGAGCATCGTTGCTTTTCCGGAAATTCAAGGGCCAGTGTAGACAGCTCGCAGCTTATTCCGGAAAAGCGGCTGATTTTCCGGAATAAGTGGCCCAGTGTAGACAAAGCCCCCATGTTTAAATGGATCCGCTTTGTAAATCATGAGGCACACAGAACGAGAAAGCAGGGAAGGGAATGGAGTCTTCAGCCTGTGGTACGTTCTTAGGAGATGGCCAACTTACAGGTAGGGAAAAAAAAAGTGCATTCTCTGATGGCGAACGTCCAACAACCTGCAGTCCTAGACTGTGAGGGTAAGACAAGTGGAAGAGGAGAACGACAGTAGTGGAAAGGAAAAGGAAACCGAGCATTGTGTTCCAGGGAAGATCCAAAACGTGAAGGTTGCATTGGTAAAAGATGATATACATGGTACATAAGGTGGGAGGATGCCAGGCAGGCCTGCCGAAGCAGGGGGAGGGGCGGGTACAAGGGGGCAATTGCCTCAAAGCCCAGCAATACTAAAGGGCCTGGAACTCGGCCACTGCCTTTAAATCCTGGGTCCTTTAAATCATTGTGGTCTGCTCTGGGCAGCACTGAGGGCTGCCCGGGCGGCACTTTCCGAAAGCTACTGAACCCCGCCCTCGTCTTGCCCAGGGGCCAGGCCAGGCTGCTGGTTCCACTGGTCCAGGGACCAGCCAAATGTCTACTAGGGCTGTCATTGTGTAGATGATGACACGATTAACCGATAAACCTGGGCTTATCCATTAATCTTGTTGACTACACGCATTCCCCCTCCCCCTAGCTGCCTTAGAGGCAGCACAGGTAAGGGGGGGGAGCAGGAGCCGGTGCCCATGAGGAGCTAGCTTAAAAGCCAGCTCCCTATAAGCACCAGATCCGCCTGCCCCCCCACCCAACCCTGCTGACAGAGAGGCAGCAGCGTGGAGG